AGCTGATGCATGAATTGGCCGCTGAGCTAAGTGGTCCTGTGACATGCATGTTTACAATATCAATCGACAGCTGTGCCCTCGGAATGGAAGGGGACAGAGTTCTGCCCGCGAACTAGCGGCCTGTCAGCTTAACAAGTGTAGTAGTAGTTAAGTTGTTTGAAAAATTGGTCAGGGATTCGGTGGAGAATCACCTGATTAGGTTTAACCTCAGTGCGGCCCAGCACGGATTCCGTAAGGGATTTTCATGTCTGACAAATTTACTTGTAGCTCGTGAAAGCTGGGCTGAGGCAGTAGACAAAGGTCACGCCATCGACGTGCTTTTCGTTGACTTCTCGAAAGCCTTTGATACTGTCACACATCAATGACTCATTGAAGTTGAGATCGTATGGGATATCTGGAGTCGCCCTTAAATGGGTTTCTGCTTTCCTAGAGGGCAGAGAACAGTGTGTACGCGTGGGGCGTAGGCTTTCGCTTAGACAAGCTGTCTTCCTAGTGGCGTTCCGCAGGGCTCGGTTCTAGGGCCGTTGCTTTTCGCAATTTATGTCAATGACCTACCCCAGGAGCTTGGAGTACCGTCGCTATTGTTTGCTGATGACCTCAAGCTCTGGAATATTGTGGATATCCCTGGTGGCTCTGAGGCACTTCAGAGTGCCTTGGATAGGCTCTGGGATTGGTCAACCTTATGGTTGATGCCCATAAATCAGGCGAAATGTTCTGTCCTCCGCATTGGAAGTGCTAGTCCCCCCACGCGCTACGTAGTTGGTGGAACTGAACTCCCTATTGTCACTCAGCAGGTTGATCTAGGTATCACCCATACCTCATTGCTTCACTCTGGGGAAAATTGGAGGAAGGCTGCTTGTAGAGGGTTCCGTATGATGTGGTTTATTCGCCGCTCGTTCGCTGTCCTAACGGCCAATAATTTTGTGAAGCTGTTCTCAGCTTTTGTGCGACCTCACTTAGAGTACTGTATCCAGGCTTGTCCGCCTTGTCTTGTAAGGAACAAAATGGAACTGGAGAGGGTTTTGCGAGTGCGTACAAGGTTAGTGCAAGGATTACCGGGGCAAACGTATCCCGAACGCTTGCTTTGCTTGGGTATGTACTCAGTGCACTACCGCAGAATTAGAGGAGACTTGATCCTCACTTACCGTACAGGGAAGATCGGTCCAGACTTGTCCTGACTATTTAGTCTCGCCAAGCTGCCTATTCTCCGAGGTCACCCGTTGAAGCTGCACAAACAGCGTTCTGACCGGGTAAGAACGGAAACTCGCTTGTCGCGTCGAGTTATTGAACCTTGGAACTCGCTACCGGCGCACGTGGTTAGGGAGTCTACGGTAGAGGGTTTCGAGCGTCAGTTAGATGCTCTTGGGTGGCAGTACCAAACCTTCCCCTTCTCCTAACCGACTTGTGTCTTCAACTTTCCCCTCTTTTTTAATTTTCTTCTCACACTTGGTATTATCATTATTTAGCTGACATTCCTCCTCTTGTTTTCCTAGCTCACCATTCACTCTTTTACTTCACATAAACCGGCCTGGCAGGGACTGCTGGGCAGGAAAATGTGGGCAGTAGTTGGTTGGACAGGGTGTGATGCGGTCTTTGTTTTAGGCTTTTCAACATCTCAAGCAGACCTGTAAATTCCCGATCCGACGACACGCAAAAGAAGGAACATTTACGGGATTATCCTATCGTTCCGGTCCCAGCTGAACTTGAACTTGCCCCATGTCCCTGTTTCTCTTCAGTCTTGCAATTAAGTATATCCAGTTAAGCGCTCTGAAAACTCTCCATGGTTCCGGCGTAGATCTCCCTGGTAACCGCGCGACTGACTTAGACTATGCTGATGCTATTGTCATGCTCGATGACGACTCACAGTATACAGCCTTTTCGAAACCGTTTGACGATTGAAAAGCCTATATCTGGCATGACTTTTCCATCAGCCTTCGTATTAACAGTACGGCTTCCCAACATACCCATTCACCTCGAGCCGCATTATGTCCATCAAGTGCTTGGATACTGAACTCGAACTGGCCCCATCTCTATCACCCATGAATGGCGCACGTCAGTGCACACTGGTCGATTGATCTATATTGCCTGCATCGATTCTGTCCATACCTTCGTGCACACATACCAAGAGCTCATTCTACCGGTCTCGGAGAACGGCCCGACTTCTAGGGATTTGCCCGTCTATTTTGTTTTCAATCCTCGAAGTTGAAGTCTTAATTTGAATCACAAAATCAACGCTCATTGTCCAGCGAGATGGGCGAACGTAATACGGGTGAGATCTCGTCATCTTACTCGTTTAATGTTCAGGTCCAAGAACAGTCTCATGCACTTGGATAATACCCGAGGGAAAGGAACAACTATCTCACACCTTCACGTCTGTTTGTTTATTAGATTAAACGCTGTAATTAGCAATTCCCATGAAACGTTGTTTTCAAAGAGGAAGGGCAGCACTCGTTGATTCATCTATCCTGAATAGCTTGATCAAGAACAGGATCAAACAGAGTTTACGCAAGAGACTTCACTCAGGGTCACCGGCTGGGTTGTCTTGGTTGTAAGTTAGTGGGGAGCAGGTAGAAGTCGGCAATACGACTACTGAGTTTCGGAGTGGTTCCTGCAACTATTTACTTAGTCTTTCCAGGTCTTGGCTCGTGTATTTTCTCCAATCTTGTCAGGTGATATACCTACGACCTGAACGTTTGGAACCATATTTTTTCTGTCCATGCACACTACGACCTGTGTCGACTTACCCAACATTGTTCTTTCAGATGATAGTCTTTTTGCCAACACTTTTTATGCTTCATTACTGTTGCTGCCTTACCTTGATATCGATCTCGCTCTCTTCTAGTGTATATTGCCGATGACTGGCGATTCGGACTCTGATTCTGCGAATGCGGTTGACGTGGAGCTAGTGCTGGCATGCGAATCGGGGGATTTGGCCAAAGTGCAGCATTTGGTTGAACAACAAGATGGTGATGTTTGCTATCAGGTGATTGGCTGCGTAAATATTGCATTCTATTTGAAGCCGATGCAGAACTTTTGATTTCAGGAGTTGAAAACTATTCTATGGCTTTTGCTGAACAGCAAACGCGCTTCTATCCTGAATAAACTGTCCTATAACCGGTGTGATGTTCTACAACGAATCAGAGCTTAAGAGAAGCAGCCTACATATGAAACAACGCATGTTCACACTTGTGGGCGTAGAGGCCACCTCAAGAAATGTGGTCTAGGTTGAAGGTTCTGTATGGTACAATTTACATCATTTTAATGCGTAAGGCCTACCAGTGGTTGTAGATGCGACAACATGGACCCACGGGGGGGTCCATGTATCGGCGTTTGTGACATTTTTAACACTTTCATTTTGATGCGTACGATATTTGATCTTTGCGACTTCTGTCGTGCCCTCAGTTAATTTTCAAATTATTGCTTGCAACCTCATGCATGCTAACGATACACACACTTCATGCATCCCATCAAATGCGTGTTTTCAACTCCTGTAGGCGTGCTGCGCATCCCTTGTTAATAATTAGTAGGTTGCTGTTGTGCTTGGAGATACAACGCAGTTTGACTCCGCCAGACAACCATCACACATCCAGGAAAACGCTAGCTGGCCATTTCCTCCTATTGGGTCTCGTCAGTCGCGTGCACTCGCCGGATGCTGCCGGCTTCGAACTCATGACCTTACCTTTAGGAGTCTGCGACATTATGGCACTAAGCCCATGGGTAACAGCGGCAGACCGATGGCCGAGAGGATTGCGTGCTTGGTTTGCAATCTTTAGGTCACCAGTTCGAACTCGCGTAGGGGCGGTTGTCCTCGCGATATAATTAGCCCACGCGTGACCGGTGGTGGTCACATGGTTGGAAAGCCTCGGTGCAGTGTACCACGATTGATATCTAACTGTGCTATAGCGCGACTCATTCTCCACTGTCATGCATGGTATGGACGTGCATAGAACGGGGCTGGTCCCCAGGGCTACCAATCGAAGTGGCATGCAAGTTGCTAAAGTGATTCATGATTATTAATGAGTAGTATGGGAGTTTTGCCGTGTCATGGGTTCGATTGCGGCGGATGCGCGCAGCTGACGAGTCCCAACAGGGTAAACGGCCGCCTGGCACTTTCCTGGATATGTGGTGGCTGTCTGGCTGCGACGAGTCTTCTTAATAGCATCACTTGTGTTTTGCTGCCTTCTTACACAGCTTCCTTGCACTACGACCAAATTGTTCACATCGTCTCTAGGGACATGTTTTCTGCCGTAGTTCTCCTATGCAGTGACACCAATCCAGGAACAGATAATGACCAACCTTTTAGTACATAAGAAAGAGCTGTTATTGCTCCATCTCTCTGCTTCGGCCAAACGAGGTGCATGCAGCCTAATGAATTATTAGGATACTTTGTAAACCGATACCGGGAGTTGGAGCCTGTGTATTGGACCTGGCGACCCACGCGCGACTGTTCGTGGTTGCGCAGTAGCAAAGCGCTGGTACGCAGTACCAGCTTACTGCCGATACATTTGTTATACGGTTCGAAACTTCATCTTCTATTCCACCGGCTCCGATACACCTGCCTTAGTTCTTGAATTTTTGCAGGGCATCTAACTGATCACCACCAATGGTCAGTGCTGGATTGTGTTCCTGCCTTTTGATGGTGCAAAACATAGACCGAAACGATTGACAACCGGTGTTAATCTGTCCAACATTGCTTGGTACGTTTGCCGTCTGCCACCCATTAGGGTAATGTCTTGGCATACTGCAAGTAAAGAAGCCGCATGCCAGGAAGCAGCTCCACATCTTCCGAGTCGTGTCCGAGAAGCGCAGTATCCGTGGCTTCGTCGGGGCGAACTTGAGTAGTACGCAGTACCGATGCTTCGCTGCCGCGCAACTATCACTAGTCGCACACAGTCTAAGGATATTGTTATGTCGGAGCGCCGCGACTACTCTGCTCGCTTACGGTAGTGCAAACACTAGCGACCGGATAGAAAACAATGTTACACCCCGCGCGCCAAACCCACCACCAAGTGTCGATATGTGCAACTCAATCAGAGTAGCCTAGTGAGAGTGCAGCTCTTCGGACGATAGGATCCACCTGGATCCACATGCATCCAACACCAAGGTTGTTCGGGCCCAGACCAAGTGTGCAGTGTCGTTCGTTCTAGTACGTTGTCAGCGCAGAAGTATTCGGGACATCTATCCACTTTAGTGCAAGACATGGCATGATTCGTTGACTCATTGAGCAAGTATAACTTCTGAATTCCTTCCACTTTGGACAGATTAATGTTCGTACGTCTGGCTAGGTAAATAGTTTCGAGGCATTGCATTTCCTTGAGTATTTGTTCACGGACGATTACTCTCTCTGGCTGTTACAGTACCTCTGATGTATTTTGAACCATGAGTTTGGTTGATTTCACGGACATCTCGTCACTTTTTATCCTTATCGATCGAGAAACGATCGTCATAGCAGACACTGCTTGTGGCCGTAAGGACACGGGAACATAATCGCGTTTCATTATCAGGCGTCTTTTCTTTCCTGCAAATCTTGATACATCGTAGAATCTGGTCCTTTTCAGTTTCAAGCATGCCTGAACCCTTGTAGTACGTACGCGCCTGAAGTTGCGTGCTTCTTGACAGTGGGGATTTTTGTAGACGCAATCTTTCGCTGGTTGCCTCTCACCACCGTTCCAAAATACTTTCGGGGGCTTCCGGTCCGGCACATCACAGCTCGAATGTTCGCCACGAATAACTGGATGACAGGATTGAGATTCTTTTCTGGAATCTGAAACTTCAATCATGTTCGTGACATTGTTCAAATTGAACAGCCTATGTCATTCAGATTCAATTTCATGTGATGTCAACCTGGGTTCCGGTTCCCAATCCACTTGGATGTACCGATTTTTGATAACAACTCAATTAACTGCCCTTGAGATTTTTCAAAATGTAATTGCTGCTGCTGGAGAAGGGACTGCATCTGTTCGCATGAAATAACCATGATTATTCAACACCTCCGTCGCCAGAGAATCTGTGATGTCGGAGCCCTGCGACTACTTCCACCCACTTACGGTAGTGAGAACACGAACGACCGGGTAGAAAACAATGTTCACGCCGCATGCCAAACCGGCCACCAAGCGTCTGTGTGTGCAACTCAGTCGCATGATTCAAATTAGGTCATGTACACAGGCTATGCAGAAAGGCTGACAATCGATCAATCAAAGCTAGTCAATCTAGGGGCTAAGGATCGATACTGTGTCTTACGAACGAGCGCAATGTACAGAGTAAAGGAAAAGCCATTAAGCATAAGATTCATTGTCAACCCAAGTTAGTCACAATTGTGTGGCAACAGAAAACATATGCGGGGAACCGTAAAAGAGGATGGTATGAATAAGAGTGCATGGGGCAAACTCACAAATCCACGAGGAGTGTGGAGTTTTCTTACCACTGCTATAACAGATATTGTGAGAGTCGCACGGCCGCTATACGGGCTCGAACCCGTGCCCTCAGATTACGAAGCAGGTTTTCAGTCCCTAAGGTTACGAGCTGGTTATCTTCAACTCACATTCCAAAAATACTCCGACGTGTTTGGGACACATGATTCTGTACGGGTTCTGTTTTCCGGAAAATCAGGTTTGGGCATATTCGTTTGCACTACCTAGTTCACAATCGTTTGGGGTTTCAGACACCATCAGTGATACCAGTAACATCCGTATGCACGTTCCTCGATGGATAGACAACGGTGAACTTTCACTCACTGGCAAGTGAACATGATGTCAGATGACGACCAACCCAAGCTTGCCCTTTCTCTGCCTCATAAGAACTGACTTACGTTTATCTGCGATCTCAGTGGCTCTCCAATTGCTCATCAGCGCTTGTCGATTCCGTCCGACTTAATGTTTGATATGCAGTATCAACCCTTGGGGGAGGAGACTGTTATGGAAGCCTGACCGTAACAGGCCTTATCCATCCGGTGAACGACTCGTCTTGGGCGGCAACCATTGTTGTGATCAGAAAGCCAAATGGTCAGAATCGAATATGAGCCGATTTCTCGACAGGTCTGAATGCTGCATTAAACACCCATCAGTACCCTTTACCGCTCCCAGATGATTTGTCCTCAGAATTGAATGGAGGTAAATGTTTCACAAAGCTGGATCTCTCTGATGCATACCTGCAGATCGAAGTACTTGAAGCTTCACGAGAATTACTCATCATCAGTACGCACCTTGTGCTGACTTCATGCGGAGTATTGGGTCCCTGTTTGGTAATCTATCAAACAAAGACGCACAAACTGCTCATTCAGTCAACGCCTCCCAATGGGCGCGATTCCTTAAATTCGCCCCGCTGCCTTGCGGGTAAGTTATTTAGCCAAAGGCTCGGGGTGGAGTCCCCTAAGTCAACTCCCTACTTCGGCTTGGGCAACCGGGTAGTATCACGCCCTCTCACAAAACCATGGACTGTATTACAACGCGCTCATCAGCTACTGTTCCTGCTACTCACTTTCACGCTACTTCATCACATGCCAATTGTTTGTTTGCTAACAATCCTCATTTTCGGTTACCCGACTCATCTGTTCAACCATCTGGCTGCGATTCTGGTTGCGCCGCAGACCAAGGAGTTCAACCTATGGCTCTCCTTCGTCCCCGATCCTCGTTCTGTCTGGCGTGCTTCAACGTTCGGACACTCATGCAGAATGGACAGCAAGCCGGTCTAGCGCGCACCCTAGATTCCCTAGACGTTGATGTCTGCTGCCTTTCGGAAACCCGATTGCAAGATCCCAGCACTGTGCTTACATTGACATCCCCCACTGATCACGAAGCCAGATAGCACCTGCGTCTTTTTGGAGATCCAGAAGCAGTCTCAGCGGGTTTGGCTGGTTTAGGCATAGCACTGAGTGGCAAGGCCGAGGCGGCACTACTGGACTGGTTCCCTATTAACAGCCGACTATGTGCAGTTCGGCTTCGGGGTTCATGTAGAATCAACAGGCACCGCGAAGAGAGACACAAC